CACGCTTGACACGTGCGGGCAAATATGCCAATGTCCCGCTTACGTAGTGTCATTGATATCATAAAAATGTTAGCGGAAAACGTGCCAAATTGTGGACACATCTGGCAAACGTTCCACTTGACGTGATGTGGAATATGGTATTCTCGATACACCGCGCATGCACCCCCATTCTGCTCGTGCCGCCACGTACTGCGCCGGCTGGAACGCATGGGGGCACCCCGCGCGACGCCACAGTCGTGCGCTGACGGGGCCGTACGTCCCACCACAGCTCAGGACGTGACGTGTGGTGCCGGCTGGGACGCACGAGAACACAGCGCCACAGTTGCGTGTCGACGGAGTCATGGCTCCCACCATAGCTGAGGACGTGACGTGTGGTGCCGGTTGGGACGCAAGGGAGTACAGTGCCACAGATGCGTGCCGACGGAGCCATACGTCCCACCATAGCTCAGGACGTGACGTGTGTCGCCGGTTGGGACGCGAGGAAGTACAGTGCCACAGATGCGTGCCGACGGAGCCATACTTCCCACCATAGCCCAGGACGTGTCGTGCGTAAACCTCCGGCGACGCCGGCCGCTCTTCAGCAGCAGCGGGCATGACTCTATTGCTGCGGGCAATACAAACTGCATGACTGCACGGCCGGCAAATGACCCGGTCGTAAAGGTCATCCTGGCCGGACTCGCCGGCGGTGATTAGGAGCAGGCCGCTTTATCGCCGCCCAAAGTGCCGCCGGCCCATTCAGGCGGTCAAGGGGCGCCGCTACGCTGAAGAGGGTCTCGGCTGGCGCGCCGGTGAATGCGGTTTGAGACGAGGCCGTCCTCATGCGGGGAGGGAAGGGGGGTAGAGGGAGGAGCTGAGCTTGCGGCGCTCCAATCTTACCGCGCCGCCGCTCCTGCGGCCGACCGCCTCATGTGCGTCAGCCCTGATGGACGGCAGCGAGGCGGGCCTGATCCGGCGCCGAGTCCACGCGAGCCGGCGCGTGCGCGCCACGTGACGAGATGGTATCTCCGTGTCTGGCCCCGGCGCCGCGTCCCGGCGGCCCGTGTCCTCGCGCCGCCGGCACGCGCCGGGCGCGGGGACGCCACCTCAACCGTGTGGGCGCAGCGACACCACCGCGACCTGACGCCCCATTAACGTTTGCTGTAGTCGGTGGCGGAAGCGACCTGCCGCCGCCGCCGGCCGGCAAGTGTTCCCAGAAGGCGCCGTTGTGCCCGTGCCTTGTCAACCGCCGCCCCCGCCCCCCGCCGCCGGCCGGGTGACCCGGCCGTGCGACGCGCCCGCTCGTCGCTGCGTCGCGTCGCCGCCGGTAGCGCCGCGCGCCGCGGCCGTCCGCATCGAGCGGTCAGCGCCGACGGCAGCGACGAAGCCCGTCAGTCGACGCGGCGCTGATCACCTGCAGCCTAATTGCCAGCGGACAAGTTTACCGGCGACATGATGTATCGATCGCCGCGGCTCCCCCCCGCACGTGTGCGCGGGCCCCGGCGCGCGCGCCACGTGCGAAGCCCCGCGCGGCCCGCCGCCGGCCGGGGAGGGGCGGCCATACCTGCCGCATACCTGGCGGCTGGCGCCCTCCCGGCCCGGTATTGTTACGGGGCCCGGTTCCGGTAGCGGCGAATGGCATGACGTGCTGGCGGGCAGCGGCGGCGCGGCGTCGTTTTTGCCGCCGAGCACAGATACGTGAAACACGCCGGCCCCGGCGCGGCGCGCCGGCAGCGGGCGGTGCGTGGCCACGCGGCGGGCCGCGGCTTATCGGCGTGGTTTACGAACCTCGGCCGGCGGATTGGCCGCGGATCGGCTGTATCGATACGCGTCTCCGCCCCTGACGGTGCGGCGCGGCCCCGCCGGTGTAACGCTGGCAGGCGGCGGCGTCACGAGACGTCACGGTGGCGTCACGCTAGCGTCACGAGCGTCACGGCACGGCTGGCGCCGCGCCGCCGCCGCGCGGGCCGACTCAGAACCACCGTTACCGGGGCCGACAGCGCACCCGTCGCTGGAAAGGTCAGCGGTGCGCTGCGCACCGCGGGCCCCTCGCCGAGCAGCGCGGGGGGGGGGGGCCGGGGCTCAGCAGAGCTGACGGGCGCGAGCCAGCCCCAGACACCTCCCGTACCACCTATGTTACCTTGACACGCCCCAGCACCATGCTCTTGAATTGCTAAAGGAATTGACCGATATGTTGTGTTATTAAGTGGTGAAATTTCTTTCATTTTTAGGTTGCTATGCTTTTGAATTTATTAACGGCCTTGTTCTGGTCAAGAACAAAGTTTTTTCAATCCCAACAAACCCGCCGTTTAAACATCTGAAACAGTACCACTTTTGCGTTTCCACTTTGGCCATGATATCATGGACTACAGTTCTGCTATAATGGAAGCATTTTGAGGTGTTCCTTGCCCCCCCCCCCCCCATTGAACCTGTGGGAGTGCCAAAATGTTGCAGGATCACTAGTGCGCAAAAGAAAGATGCAAAGTAAAATTAAGGTGGCAGACGAATTATGGAATTATGTCGCAACTTCACACGTATTTAACTGGAAACGATTTTCTAGCACGGCCGATCCCTTTTTCTAAAGTGTCGTAGTCTCGCGGTCTTGGCGTTTTGAGGCGTTGGTGACGGCTCTGTCCGGTCCTCTGACTTCCCATATCGGTTCTAACCGGTTCTACCCGGTCGGCTCCAGCCGTCCCGCGCCACGCACAGTCGTTGACAGAGCAGGCCGCCTCATGAGAGCCGCCGCTCACCAGCAGGCGAGGTAATCTGAACCTGAGAGGCACGGCTGGGGCCAGACCCGCCGATGTTAGCCGGTCATTTAGCCCCAGACTCGCCGATCTTAGTCGGTCATTTAGCCCAGCTCCCGGCGGCGGCCATATAGGAATGTATTGACCTGCACCCGTGCGGCCTCTCGACTGCAGCCTGGACAGATGAGCCGGTCAAGTCCCGCGGCCCCTGCCGGCGGCCAGTCACACCGGCCCCGCTTCAGAGCGGGCGCGGTGCGTGGCCTCGCGGCCGTTCCAGCTGCCGCCAGCCCCGGCTCCTCTCCCTCACGGCCCCCGCCGGCGGCCAGTCACACCGGCCCGGCTTCAGAACGGGCGCGGTGCGTGTCCTCGCTGCCGTTCCGACGCCGCCAGCCCCGGCTCCTCTCCCTCACGGCCCCCGCCGGCGACCAGTCACACCGGCCCGGCTTCAGAGCGGGCACGGTGAGTGTCCTCGCGGCCGTTCCGGCGCCGCCAGCCCCGGCTCCTCTCCCATGCAGCGCGATGATTTGCGGTGAACTTCACCGCCCATGACCGGATGTGGCCACCGACTGCACGTGCAACACCGAGGGGGGCCACCGCCAGGTGTTGTATGCGCCGGACACTCAGCGGGGGTGCGGCCAGGGAACCGGGCTGCGATGTCGTTTATTTGCAGCAGCCAGGCGTGAGCGACGCCCGAAACGCTGGTGCTAGGTGTTCTTTGTTGAATGATAGAGCTTGGGTCGTGTCCGAAGCAGGTGCGACAGCACATCCCAGCCACCATACGCGTCGTTTCTGACACCGGGGAGAAGGGGGGGGGGGGGGGAGGGGTCGCTCCGTGGTTGTGAGCGCGCACAGCAGCCGGATCCGCCTGGCTTGGGCGGGTCTGTCCCGTCTGGTCCTGATCTATTCTGGCCTGGGCGGGTCTGTCCAGTCTGGTCCTGGTCTATCCTGGCCTGGGCGGGTCTGTCCCGTCTGGTCCTGGTCTATCCTGGCCTGGGCGGGTCTGTCCCGTCTGGTCCTGGTCTATCCTGGCCTGGGCGGGTCTGTCCCGTCTGGTCCTGATCTATCCTGGCCTGCGCGGGTCTCTGGCGATGTGGTACCTGCTCCACGACCAGCAGTGCTACAGGTGCGCCGCACACCCCTGTCGCTGCGCCGCTGTCTTTACCTGCCGTGTCGAGCTGCGTGGCCCGATGTGCTGGTGCTATGCTCTTTGTTGCGACCGTTTTTCATGCAGCTCCTACATCTGTGATTATTTGTCCTTCCGTGGCGTAGTTAAAGCACGTGCCTCCCACCCTACCCGTGGCGGAAATATGTATTCTAGTCGTGGCTTGATTATTTGGTTATTTGGATGAGAGCTCTTTCGGCCAGTGATGACCATGTCAGGGCTATAGGATGATGGGTAATGGAAACGATGGGGCACATCTATATCTACCTGGGAGACCCAACTGCCGGGACTAAGCCTGCACGGGGACCCCTCTACGGGGGTATGTGCTTGGCGTCCGGACGGGGGCCCCCATCAGGGAGCTCTCAGCCCACTCCTGGCTGGCGCCTGCAGGCTGTCCTGGGCAAACGGGGCATCACGAGGCCGCAGGATGAGGCTGGAAAGAGAATGGGAGGGGCGAATGCATTCGAGTGGTTTCGGTGCTCTCTATTTGTCTGCGACTGGGATGGCCTGCGGCCGGTAATAGCGGCCGCTCAAGGTCAGATGAGGTCAGAGGGCGCGGTGGACCGTGCCGAGCATTGCGGCACGTTACACTTTTGCCACGAAGTTCTGCCGCTGGACTGGCATTTCCCGATCGGGTAGTGTTGTCGGGTCTACACAACAAGCACTGCCTAGCGTGAAGTTTTCCTGTTTCATAAATTCGCTGACTCTCCACAGCTGACAATTTTTTCGATTGATTTATTTATGCACGTGATTAGGTTTATAAGGTCATGCATGAAACAAGCGCCGGGCTTATTCGACGTATGTTCTTGAACGGAACAGCATCGAAATACAAATTTGACTCATATTGGTGATGTTATAGATTCTAAGGTATTTTTCATTGAATTGTTTCGCTTATCATACCTTATCGTATCGAGGACTGCTTTCACAAGCATCGACGTCCCCTTTTCGTTGGCTGATGACAGTCAAACCCCAGTGACGTAAAAATCAGCTTGAAATGACTCACCTTGCTATTGATTTTACGAATATGGCTGTTTTCAAAGGTCTCTTGCGCCGTCGCCTCACCGCGCGGCGCGGCCATCCGCGGCGGCGTCTCTAATTCCCGTTTCCACCCCCAGGTGGCAGCACAAGGCGCGACAAATGTGCTTTACAGCCTGGACAACCCACGGCTCTTCCGCATCGACAGCGACGGCAACATCTACAACAACGCCAACGGACGGCGGCTGGTGGCTGGCGGCGGGCTCAACTTCACCGTGTTCGCCGTCAATCCGGGTGGGTGGCGCGGCGTGCGTGTCCCAGCTCACGCCAACCTGGCCCGGCGCGGATCGGTGATCGGAAATGGAGCCGCCGGCTCGCGTGCCGCCTCACCAGGCGTCAGCAATCGTCCGCAGACTATAACGTGACGTGCGCGCGAGGGGAGGCGGCCTGATGGACATGGGCTGCGGCGCGATCTGTGGGCATGTGTATCTGTCTGCCGGGCGGTCGCTCCCAGTGTGTATCTGTCTGCCGGACAGTCGTTCCCGGAATGTGTGTCCGTCTGCCGGACGGTCGCTCCCGGAGCGTGTGTCCGTCTGCCGGACAGCCGCTCCCGGAGTGTGTGTCCGTCTGCCGATCGGTCACCGTCTGCCGATCGGTCGCTCCCCGGAGCGTGTGTCCGTCTGCCGATCGGTCGCTCCCCGGAGCGTGTGTCCGTCTGCCGATCGGTCGCTCCCGGAGTGTGTCCGTCTGCCGGACGGTCGCTCCCCGGAGCATGTGTCCGTCTGCCGGATGGCCGCTCCCCGGAGCGTGTGTCCGTCTATCGAACGGTCGCTCCCCGGAGTGTGCCCGTCTGCCGGACGGTCGCTCCCCGGAGTGCGTCTGTTGTCTGTATCTGCATTCCTATCCCCGCATGTGATCTGTGTTTATTTGTAAATAAGCCTCTCTTTTTATCGTCTTTCCACTGTCATCATCTCCTTCTCAATTTCTCACTTTGTTCGCAATTAACTGGTGGTATCTGTTGCAAGGTCGGCATGTTTTGTCCAGGGGCTGTTTGAAGTACGTTTTAAGGGACGGCCAAAACAGACTGCCTACCTAGTAGAACCCGAAAGCTCACCATGAGTTTGCCTGCATCGTGCTCTTGAATTTTGTCCAGTTAATGGTTTAAAGTAATTTCATAACAAAACATTGTAAGTTTACTTTGGCTGCCCCGCGACACATTAAAGAACAAAGATGACGTTGCGGTATTCTGATGATGTAGAACACACCGTCAGCGAAGTTTACCAAGATATCGCACGTTCGAGAGAAAGGCAAATATTTCATATGTGATGTATGGTTATAATGATAACTGGATTCTTAGTATGGTATAACTCGGAGGTGTATCAAAACATGGCAGCAGCACCTATGCTTGAGATGCATTTAACCCAGGGTGAGATTTTTGTTAACTATTGATACCCATCATGCATGCCTGATGTACAGGTGCTATGTTAGTTTCATTTTATCACCATTTTCATACCTTCCTGATTCGTCGCAATTTGGGTACAATTTACTACGAAGATCTGTGCATGTGCAATCTTTTAAAGTCTGGTCATAAGAATATCGTGTTTGGGTTTGTTCTGGCTGGCTTTACCTGTTTCAGCTAGTTAGAACCAGCTAAGACAGGATTAACTGGCTAAAACTAGCTTCAGCCGGTTTTTGCCAAGACTCAACTTTTCTGCGTGCTGTCTTTCGCCGCCTCGCGGCAAGACATGGCGACGCATATCAGATCTAAGCCGACCGTTGCTGTCATCAAACATGTTTTTATCTACACTCAGGCAGTCGCAGTTTGGGGTTGTATCGACCAGGTTCTGTTTGCCCGCCCTCCTAGCCGGTGCGTAAGCCTGCTGTTGCCCAATCTGTTAATCATAGCTGGCGGCACAAAGACTCAGCCACATGACGTTACGGCGTCTGTCCGACACTCATGCCACGTTCAGCCATATGACGCTACGGTGTCTGTCCGACACTCATGCCACGTTCAGCCATATGACGCTACGGTGTCTGTCCGACACTCATGCCATGTTCAGCCACATGACGCTACGGTGTCTGTCCGACACTCATGCCATGTTCAGCCACATGACGCTACGGCGTCTGTCCGACACTCATGCCATGTTCAGCCACATGACGTTACGGCGTCTGTCCGACACTCATGCCATGTTCAGCCACATTACGTTACAGGGTCTGTCCGACACTCATGCCATGTTCAGCCACATGACGTTACGGCGCCTGTCCGACACTCATACCATGTTTAGGCACATGTCGTTACGGTGTCTGTCCGACACTCATGCCATGTTCAGCCACATTGCGTTAGCTCATGCCATGTTCAGTCATATGACGTTACCGCGTCTGTCCGACACTCATGCCATGTTCAGCCACATGACGTTACGGTGCCTGTCCGACACTCATACCATGTTTAGGCACATGTCGTTACGGTGTGTGTTCGACACTCATGCCCTATTTAGCCACATCACTTTACGGCGTCTATCCAACATTCATGCGATGTTTAGCTGTATGGCTTTATGGCGTCCGCCCAGTGCTCGTGCCCTATGTCACATTTATAGTCCTTTTTTGACTCGACATTGGCTCCGACGCGTTCACACAACGTGCTGTTGATATTCGTCGTTTGGCGTGATGCTGGGCTTTGTCCTTGCTTGCCACCTGTTTGGCTTGTCGACTGGCACCGACAGTCAGTTTTATTGTGTTGGAAATTTTAGGCTTTTTAAATCCTCGCAAACTTGTGCTGCAAAGTCGGACTGGATGACATTTTGTGTTTGTTCTCAAACTAATTAAAAGAAACGATGCGTCACACATATGCCATCGCACATTCTAATGTCACCGGATGGACACATTTGGCGCATCCTGGAGGTCACCGCCAGTCAGCAGTGAACAGCTGAATCAGTGCAAGAATTGACCCCGAAATATCCGTATGATGCATCTATAACCTGAGATCGAGTTGATGTAGTTTTATGTTTTATTTATCAAACCGTACGTGGGAGAGCCTTTAGTGCACAATGAGCTGTACTTGCGTTGAAAATGCTGGTGTGTGCTATTGGCTTTTAATAACTTAGCACCTACTTTGCAACCTGAGGCTTGTTAATGTGAGTTTCAATGCGTATAGCTAAAGCTTTTTACGCTCACGTAGTACAATTTGTGGTTGCTTCCAACACCACACACAGCTTTTTAAACCAAACCCTGTTCCCAGCTCCCTCTGACGTGTCTGTAAATAGAAGCATACATTATTACAGTTTCTTGCTCAGTGTTCATCTCGTGTCTCTTCCTCACTGTCGTGGGGCCCGATACCAGAATTCTGCTCCTGCCCACCGGCGACTGATCCGAGCGGCCATTAGGTGAGCGAGGGGGCGAGGTCGGTCGCTCCACTGAGCCCCAGGGCACGCCGTCCTGAGCCGCCTGATGTCGGGATGCAGTGTCGGCGCGGGCGCGTCCGCCGCGCTCGGCCCGCCCACCGCGACGAAAACATGTCTAATGTGGAGTCGCTGGTGTGGACGACAGATGAAGAAGAGCCGAGTAGGATCAGAGTAGCTTACGATGCCGGCACTAAAAGGAATGCGTTCATAGCGGAGAAAGCGCCTAGTTCGCTGCTGCCATATGACTTCCTGAAACTTTGTAGCGTATCTACGCTGTCCGATTACTTGCGATTCATATTATAGTTTTTTCGCGAAAATTTAATGTTTTCAATGGTTTTCTTAAGTCCCTTATTTTTATTTCTTTTCAAAATATGCACATAATTGCTAATCATTCTCTTAAGTGTAGAGAGAGGAGAGAGAGAGAGGGATAGAGAGAGGGAGAGAGGAAGAGAGGGAGAGAGGGAGAGAGGGAGAGAGGGAGAGAGGGAGAGGGGAGGGAGAGGGAGAGGGAAGGGAGAGGGAGTGGGAGAGGGAGAGGGAGAGGGAGAGGGAGAGGGAGAGGGAGAGTGAGAGAGAGAGAGAGGGAGAGAGGGGGAGTGGGAAATTACAGATAGCTTCGCGAAAATAAGAAGGTCGACAACGCAAGATGTGCTTTTACGACGCACAAGAAACTGCGCGCGCCTGTGGCACGCTAAACTCGGCTTTCAGTGAAAAATTTCAGTTAGTTGTGCCCCCTCCTCATTGTAAATCTTTGCGTATGCCCCTGACGGTTGTTATCGGTTGCTAGAATCAGTATGCTAATGGATTATCGGTCAACATCTATCTTCCTTTCTGCCAGTGCCATGACGATCTCCCATATCAAGACAGCTCATCATATATCTCCTCCGCTTTAGATCCTGCTTAAATCTTCATCGATTGCCAGTGTGGTGCTTCACATGGCTAATGTGATGCATTTATGTGGGTTTGTTTGAGGGCAGACTCATAAACAATGGAACTTGCTGGGTCCCACACCGAACTAAAGGCAAGAATACGCGATTATGTAATGTTGTGGCATGCATCCATCATGCAAATCACCGCGCCACTCTGTTCATTCTGTGTGCAACTATCGACGCTGCGTGGCATGATGCTCGTCCAAAGCTCTTGGCTGCGTCAAATTTGGACAGCCCATTAAACAATACGCTCCGCGGTAATGCCAGCTCATACTCGGCCGACGCGGCCACCCCGCGCGCCACAGTTCAGCGCCGCGGCGGACCCTGCGTCGGCCGCCGCCCGCTCGTCTGACCTTTAGGTGGCTGCCGAAGACACCCGGCTCCAGCCCGCCGTGCTATTTTACGACGGTGCTCGTCTGGTTGGCGAGCAGGGGCTTGAACGGAGCTGAACAATGTGCCGTCGTGCTCAGATGGGGGTTGGGCTGCTTACTTTATATGATCGTAGCATATCTCTAACAGATGTCGGGCGAACACGGACGTGACCTTTCGCACATGGTTGGTGGTTGTTCAACCAAGTCACGCGACGGAGTCATCGCATTATTTACAGGGTTTTTGCTTTGACCTTTTCAAATAGTAAGGATAAGCTGAAACGTATGTGGGTTTGCTTCCTGTGAACAGTCGTTGACACGCACCCGAATGGCCGGTTGAATACCCTTCGCAAAGGTGGGTGGGGGTGGGGGTGGGGGTAATTCGACCGGCTGATATCTTAAAAGACAAGAGAGATTAAGCCACCAAAGTCACAGAGTGGATTGGGCTATATGTGAATTTACTTTGTTCAAAATTTGAGCTTATAGGTCATGACCCATGGGTCAAATAACGTAAAACAAGGTCAGACTCAACGTGTCCAACGTTCTCCAGTCCTCTTCATGCTGCCGCCTTCAGCCTAGGTACCTATTTTAAGCGAAAGGCCACTGGTATAGATTTTAGATCAGCGACCTAGTTTGGCCTCAGAAGGTCATGGGGACCAAAAGCTTACCAGATTGTTTTGATTTTTTTATTTGAATAAGCGTTAAGGATTACGTTAGGCGGTACGTTCCACGAAACAAAGTGCTGATCTGGGTCATCGTAGACTGATTACCTACTCTGACCTTCAAGAAGTAAATTTCTGTTGCAATTCTTGTTGTCAAAAATCAAAATGGGCATCACAAACTATCCCTTAAAGCCAGTTTTTCATAAGAAATAGCAGGTCGGTTTTGATCTCGGTCTGGCCTTCATACCTGACTATTGGTCAATAGAATGCCTTCCAGTACTAAATTGAAATGTTGTATTGACTAAGAAACCATCTTAAACATGTATGGCGTGGTTTTACGATCGTTGTCGCGCCACAGTCAGGGCTTCCGCAGAGATCACCTTCGCTGACAGTCACGGCCTGACATTGACTTGCCCTCGGTCAGCGACTTACCACGGCCTGACATTGACTTGCCCCCGGTCAGCGACTTACCTGGGGAATCTCATTCTGGATACCAAAATATCTGGTATCCAATTGCCCACAGCTATGCAAAGTTTGGCGCGGCAACTATTTTGTAAAAAAAAACCTTCGGGGTGGGAGGGGAGGGGGCAGATTAACCTCCATCCGACCGCGTGCTAAACGAATCCTTAACGAATAGCTTGCAATTCTACCTGTTTGTGCGGTGTCTGATACAACTGTTAATCGCGTAGTGCTGTGCAGCCAGTCTTGTCGTTGCTGTTATATACAACCGGAACAACCGGTCTCGTAGCGGCATGCGTCATCTGCTGGCACATACTGCGCCCTGTATCTCAGAATTTCCTAGGAGTATGGCCAGTGTGCCTGCTGCTACAGTCCTGGGTGTGACAGTGTGCATGCTGCTGCAATCCCGGGTGTGATAGTGTGCCTGCTACTACAGTTGCGGGTGTGACAGTGTGCCTGCTGCCACAGTCCCGGGTGTGATAGTGTGCCTGCTACTTCAGTCACGGGCGTGATAATGTTCCTGCTGCTACAATCCTTGGTGTGGCGGTGTGCCTGCTGCTGCAATCCCGGGTGTGACAGTGTGCCTGCTACTGCAGTCACGGGTGTGACAGTGTGCCTGCTACTACATTCATGGTTGTGATAGCGTGTCTGCTGCTGCAATCCCGGGTGTAGCAGTGTACCTGCTGCCACAGTCGCGGGCGTGACAGTGTGCCTGCTGCTACAATCCTTGGTGTGACAGTGTACCTGCTACCACAGTCCCAGGTGTGATCGTGTGCCTGTTACTACAGTCACGGGTGTGATAGTGTGTCTGCTGCTACAGTCACAGGCGTGATAGTGTTCCTGCTGCTACAATCCCGAGTGTGACAGTGTGCCCGCTGCTACAGTTCTGAGTGTGACAATGTGCGTGCTGCCACGGCCACGGGTGTGGCAGCTCGTCACGTGACCGAGACCGGCTGCGTTCCAGAGCACTCCCACCGGATGGCGACCACCACGGTACTGGTGTCTGGGAACCAGCCGCCGCAGTTCTCCGATCGGGACTACACGGCCAACGTCTACGAGAGCGCCGCCGGCGGTACGTCTGATGCCAGCTCCAGCCACACGCACTGTCGCGGCCGTTGGCGCGGTCGCCGGGCCAAAACAGATGGCGTAATCATTCGGTTGGTTGTTTTCGTGAATGGCGTTATTGACGCGGCATTTTAGAGGCATATCGCAGTTTACTTGAGAGCGGATGCCATATTTCAAACGGTCCTTTTCAGGACAGACCAATGCCTGATCAGACGGCCAGCCAATGTACCCGCCAAAAACATCGTAAACATAATGCAATCATCGCCAGTGCTCCGAATGGTTTCCACAGCCTTGCCAAATTTCGTCCCAAACATTCTGTAAGACTAAACCCTCGTGATATTGCACATGAGTTGGCGTAACCCAGCACCTATCGTGAAGTCCTTCCTCGTGAAGAAGATTTTTGTGATTTATGACGGCCCGGCTGTTCTTTGCTATTACCAGTGAAACCCAGCAGCGATCCTGGACCGGACTTGCGCTGTTCGTGTAAACCCGGCGTGATAACACCTTCCGAGAACAGCTGAACCACATCTCGTACCTCTGACACTGAGACTGGAAGAGCTTGCCGCACTGTCCGCCAGCACAGCCGCATTTAAGATGAATGTCCCACATTTGAGGGTATTGAGGCAAGCAGCAGATAAGACGAAATGAGCTCACTTATAGCTATTGATATACTTAAGTGGAAAGGACCGCTCTAGACAACACAATTGTATTGCTTATTGAATATGCTTTCCATCACGTCGCTATTTGATTGATTGCGTGGAATAAATATCATGCTCGTCCTTGGAAAACAAAACTTTTCCCTGACACAATTCCTTTAAACCCGCCGCTGCATTCGGCCCCAAATTCTGCCGGACTTGACTGATGCTGGCGAAGCAGTCCGTGCAGGCTTGGCCGGAAGAGCGATCCAGGCCAAGTTTGACAGATGGCCGTCATCTCTGCACTGGAAGCATCACTCACCGACAGACGCCGCTTCGACAGTCTCTCACATGGATGACATGCGCCGCCCTCGCGTTCTCATTCCCTGATTTGCATTTGCAACGCGCATGCCATTAGACAACAGCTGACGGAGGCAACTCGTGGGCCGCCTGCCGTGTCATGGCGCCCACCCGGCGAATGCAGAGTGGAGTGAACTGACCATGGCCTGCTGGAGACCACCCCGCAGTGTGCGGCACCGGACTATGAAGAACAGTGTGCAGCACCGGACGATGGCGGACAGTAGCACCGGACGATGACGGAACGGTGTGCGACACCGGACTATGAAGGACAGTGTGCAGCACCGGACGATAACGGACAGTAGCGCCGGACGATGACGGAACGGTGTGCGACCCCGGACGATGACGGGACAGTGTGTGGAACCGGCCAACGACGATACGGTCTCAGCCCAGTCCGTTCGCCGCGTCCACGGGGCCCGGTTTACAAAGAAGCCCGCTGCGCGGTCGCTGCGGGCTGCGTGGGAGGGCTCGTTGAAAATCGATTGCCGATAACGAGCTTACCGCTTTGTGGTGCACTTGATTAACAGGCTACTTCAGTGTGCTGTATATTAACGGTCTGGTTTTCGTGCAGTTCCATTGAATACCGGACACGGCGTGGGTGGTGCCCTTGCATGGTCACCCCCCCCCCCCCCCTCCCCCGCAGTTGTGCGCTGTCCTGCCTAATGGAGCACTCCGTGGGTGACGGCGCTGTTTGTAAAGCGAGTGTGTGTGTGTGTGTGGGGGGGGGGGGGGGCAGATTGTGGGCGTCTGTTCTCGGTGGTGACGACGGGGCCGAGTCCGCTGTCGTAGTTAACTCTTAACAGTACTGCCCTCACAAACGACGCGACGTTAGTATGTGCTTGAGATGCAGCGGCCCAATAGTAGCGCCAACGTGAAAAACGACCTTCCGCCGTCGCAAGCGTCCGTCTGGGATGTAAAATAGTGACCGGAGTTTTGGCTCGATATGCTCGGGGTTTTGGCTCGATATGTCGGGGTTTTGGCTCGATATGTCGGGGTTTTGGCTCGACATGCTTCAGTGCTATGCTCGCGCGTCATGATGGTATCACTGGGTGCGAATCATGCTCTCCGGCTCTGCTTCGATCGCATGTCCAGGCCACCGCCTGTCCCAGGGCAAACCCAGCCCGGTTATCATCGACCTCTGCCATCGGGAGAAGGTTATCCACACACTCGGGCTTAACCATGTCACGCAATATTTCAGTGTTGATTTTGGGCCGGCCGTCACGCCGCCGGCCGTTTTGCAATCTCCTGCCTGCGCCAGGGGGCGGAGCCTCGCGACACCGTCCTGAAATATTTTTTTTTGGGTTGAATGGCTGGTCGGAGCCGGAAAGACTATCCCGCAAGGGAGCAACCACTCGCCCTCCACCTTGCCAATGCACTGTCACGGATGGCAACCTAGCGCCTCGCCCGTATTCATTAAGCTCCTACCTCTTCTCCTTTTTCTGCTCCCTGGCCAGCTCAGCTGACGCATTGGCTGCTCCCTGACCTGGCTTAGCTGACACATCGGCTGCTCCCTGACCTGTCTTAGCTGACGCATTGGCTGCTCCCTGACCTGGCTTAGCTGCGCATTGGCTGTTCCCTGACCTGGCTTAGCTGACGCATTGGCTGTTCCCTGACCTGGCTTAGCTGACGCATTGGCTGTTCCCTGACCTGGCTTAGCTGACGCATCGACTGCTTCGTGACCCAGCTTAGCTGACGCATCGGCTGCTCCCTGACCTGGCTTAGCTGACGCATCGGCTGCTCCCTGACCTGGCTTAGCTGACGCATCGGCTGCTCCCTGACCTGGCTTAGCTGACGCATTGGCTGCTCCCTGACCTGGCTTAGCTGACGTATCGGCTGCTCCCAGACCTGGCTTAGCTGACGCATCGACTGCTTCGTGACCCAGCTTAGCTGACGCGACGACTGCTCTGTGATCTAGCTTAGCTGACGCAACAACTGCTCCGTGATCTAGCTTAGCTGACGTGATGACTTTCACCTGACTTGAAAACGCTTTGAGCTGCTCTTGGCGGTCGTGATTTTACAGCGTCACACATCGGCTTATAACAGCAGTCAAACGCGCCGCCCCGCCGGCTCGTCCGTGCATGTCATTGACACCCCTGAGCGGCCCCTCACGGTGACAGTGGCGCCTCCGCGCTACCGGCCCTGGACGAAGCAGTCAAACGCGCCGCCCCGCCGGCTCGTCCGTGCATGTTATTAACACCCCTGAGCGACCCCTCACGGTAACGGCCGGCGCCTCCGCTCTGCCCGCCCTGGACGATCGACCCCTGTCCGAACCGCGCCCGTGCACGGCCCGGCCCGCCGTTGCCGGTCACCGAATCGATCAGTTCCCCAGCGCTCCTTACCCGGCCGTTTGTCTTTCATCGGAGCGCGGGTCGCGGTCATTCGGCGGCGCACGCGTACCGCGAACTCGTTGTCGGCCGCGACGCCTGAAGTTGGCGCTGATGAATGTTCAACGCGCGTGACCCTGGGTCGTTGGCCAGACCGGTGGCCATAATGCAGCAGCATGGTCGCCAAGCACGGCCGCAGCCGGCGCCGCGCCGGTGCTGATGCTGGTTGGATCCGCGGATTCCGCGCGCGCCCTGCGGCTCGGCTGGGTGCGACGGAACGAGATGTGGTGCTGTAGCGGGAGGCTCCGGTAAAAGTCGTTTGGTGCTGTTGCTCCGTAGGTGTTCTTCGTCTTAAACACGCTCTGTGAGTCGTTCGCTCTGATAGTGCGCGCTTGTCGCTTACGCGCCGCACCGCGACGCGGCTGACGTCGCGCCGCTGTCCGGCCCGTCATCAGTCTGCCCTACCCGAGGGCCGGCTAAGCCCCTGACCCGGCACCGGCACGTTATGTGTGTCGGCACGTCCCCGGATCGCCGCCGGGCCGTGGCATGCCGCACGACCTCCGCGGTCGAGGGGGAGGGGGCGGGGGGGGGGGGGGCGGGGCACCATTGAATTAACGTGTCACTCGGGCGGGGCGGTTGCACAGGCACGCCAGGAATCTGGGGCATTTTGTAACCGTCGCCGCCGGCGCCACACTCACGGGGTGGTGCGTGTCCACCGCCGCATTTCATGTCCTAGGTCCATGATATTCACACCGTCCTTGACGTCTGTTATATTCATTGCCTGCAACGCGCGTGTAACGTTCATCATAGTCACCATGTCCTTCCTGTCCGCTGTATGCATAACGTCGATCACGTCTGTCATTTTTACCATGTCTTTTGCGTTTACCGCATCCATGTCAATCACGTCTCCAGCACCTACCGCGCCAACCACATCTATCGCATGCTGCACTCTACTCACGTCTACTCATGTATCAAGTCATTCGCCGCTGCCGCACCCGCCACGTTGATCCGATCTATCAAACCTTGCAAGCCAGTCAAATCTACCGAATCCACATGTCAGTCGTGTTGTCTGTATACTGCTCGTCTAGGACGTCGATGGTATTCACTCGAGTTTATCGTATCCACCGCGCCATGTACGTCTGCTGCACCTTGCCAGTCTATCCAGTGCGGTCACGAGACGGGTCAGACGCCGCGGGCAATTATCGCCTGGGGGTTCGGCGTTAGAGGTCACCAAACAGTGGACATTCAGCTGGTTAACTTGAGTAGAAAAAGTTCCTTCCCGCTGGATATCGGCGCGTCTGTTATGCTCTGATTTTGCTTGCCGGGTTGTTGTGGTCTGATTTACGTGTTTGAAGGGTTTGAAGCCGCCTGTTATCATATGGTGTCGCCTGCCATCGCGTTCGGTGTGTTTTGATGGATAGCCTTGAGTTCCGTTTGTTTGGATTCGGTCGAAAAATGAGCGCTAGGACAGAACTGGAAATCCGCTGCATAGCACAGGCAGCCGTGCCTTCTACAAATAGCGTCGCCGTTAGCACTGTCCGATACACCAGGACGCCGGCCCGCCGCCGAGGGGTCAATAGACCCGTCGAAAGCCGCTGGTGCTGAACAGCTTCTGCCCAGACTGCGGTACAGCTTTGCAAAATAATTGGGAGGAGGCTGCACAGGGAAAGTAGCTAAATTTTCATTATTATTTATTATTTCATTATTATTTATATATATATATATATATATATATATATATATATATATTTCATTTCATTATTATTTCATCGGCATAAACATTCCCTAAATTACGCGAAAAATGTTTTCATCTCCACATCTACCCGTTCTTAAAACTTTTGTGGAAGGGGTAGGCAGAGTCCCCCTAAATAGGAAACTACACCCCTGGACCCGACTATAAGAGAGAGCGTCATGAAAAGTATGCAGGCTCCTAACCCAATCATTGGTGTTCAATATCTGTAGAAGATGCTTCCGATTTTGCATAAAATTGGTTGCAATCGGTGCGTGCGAAAACAGATGAAATGCGATCCATTTCATCGCACGAATGAGCCTTGCTTGTGTAGGCTGGTCACGATCCAGCTTCGAAGCGATGCGACTGGTGAACTGACGCTCGAGCGCGACGTTGGTGAACCTCCGCCTTCCCAGCTCTCATGACAGACGGACTTGAACGACGATAAGGCCCGTTGATTTGGGTTGGAAGCGCTCCACCTGCACGTGCATCGGTATCATCTATATTATAATATTCTCCTCGTCATTGGCGAGACCTCGGGTCTCGCCCGTTTCTCGTGGCCGCTCATGTTGGCAACGTTGTAAACTAACTGCAGAGCTTAGTGGCCCGTCCGTGGTGAACATTTGGTAGTTGGAAACTTCTAAATGAATTATGTCACTGTGGGTGTCTCCTAAACCCGGCGCTCGTGCTGCTAAACTTTTCAGCACCAGACAACGGGGTATGCTGCTTAACAATGCCGCGCTCTTTAAAAGGCAGCAATGTATGAATTTTACGATGCAATGTTCAGAATAAAGGCTTAATGTCTCAGCTGAACTATGGATGTAAATGGATTGGGTATAATTGAGCTACATAACACGCACCAACTTCTGTGATCAAAGCGCTGGGCCTCATCATAGGCTTCGAATCGAGTCTATTTCTAAAGTTGGTGTTCGAAGTAGACGGCATTTCTGTCGCAGTATGTTCGACAGGCTGTAGCACTGCGCGCACATGAGGCGTTAACCAAGCACATACGGACTTCAAGGTGAGCGTAAGCGCTATTCTCACGGGTTAAGTAGTGGCAAGACAACTTTCAGCTGTGCGGCGCCCTCTTAAAGCGGGTCGCAGCTCGGATCTCTTGCACGCGCGCGTGTTCATGTCGCGAGCTTTTACTGCGAAGCATTTGTTTACGGTGGGATATCGGTGTTGTCCTAGCCGACATGGGGCTGAGCCATTACACCGGCACTCCTTTACGTCATGGTCATCTCCGGCGCCCACAAAGCACGCAGCATGGCTCTGGTGTAGCATGATAAGGTCATCACTAACAAATGGAGCATATCGCCCCCAACCAGGCCTGGTTGAGGTCACCCGTGCGCTCCGGCTTGATTCGTCCATGTGCCGGAAATGTGCAAGACGACGGGCAACCACCGCCCAACAGGCCCGTATTAAATAAATAGCTCGCTCGGTGCGCTTCAGAGACGCGCTGATGGAGACATGAGCTCCTGATGAAGATTTCCCTAAGGTCCCTGACCACAGCCACTTCTGACTCCCGGTTGGAGACCAAAGTGACCTGACCTGACCTGACCTCTGCCGGCTGCAGGGTCTCTGGTGCGGGCTGTGGTGGCGCAAGACCCAGACACGGACCCCATCAGCTACTTCATCCGGTCACCAGGCAGTACCCTGGACGTCGAGGTGTACCAGATGGTGAGCAGACCGCTGGCAGCAGCGCACACAGCGCGGTAGGGGCGCCGGCGCCTCAGGGTCACATACCTGCACAGCAGGGCAGGCGAACAGCAGGGGTCGCCCAGGGAAGTGTCATCTTGTCTGCTAAATATTTTTGGTCTGCCTGGGCCTGGAACTCAGTGATGAATGTCTGTTGCCATGTCTGTTGAGTGTTGGCTGTCGGTCACCGTCTGTCGAGTGTTGGCTGTCGGTCACCGTCTGTCGGGTGTTGGTTGTCGTCCGCGGCGTCTGCCGAGTGTTGGCTGCCGGCCGCCTTGTCTGCCGAGTGTTGGCTGTCGGTCACCGTGTCTGTCGAGTGTTGGCTGTCGGTCATGCCTGCCGAGTGTTGGCTGGCGGTCGCTGTGTCTGTCGAGTGTTGGCTGTCGGTCATGCCTGCCGAGTGTTGGCTGTCAGTCGCCGTGTCTGTCGAGCTCCCCTCGTCGTCTGCGGCGGGCGGCGCGCGGCGGCGCGGCGGGACCGCCTGTTGCTCTCGGCAGGCGGCGGTGCGCACCGCCGCCGCCCGCGTGTCGCCGCTCCCCGGATCAGCGCTAAGTGATGGATCACTGGCGCCGTATTAGCATCCGACTGATGATGTCCGCCGCCGGGATATTGCATCGTGAAATGAATTTCGTGACCATTAGGTCGAGCACTTTTCGGCGTCTTTATTAACAGAGACGGATGGCATATGCTCTTGAAGGTGGACGGGTGGTGCGTCTCCGGAGATGAGCCGAGAAATGAGTCATTTGTCCGACGGACGGGCGTGGTGATTATTATGTAGCAGGCTGTTGCCTGGTGCGCCTTCGGCGGCGCGAATTCAGAAGGCTGTTGATAACTATCGGAAATCGTAGACAAGGACGCACTAGTCGTTCTGTGTCAACTAAATTGTCATGCCGCGCTGCCGGTCGGCCGATTTACGCGAGCTGCATACCTTGCCGTTGCGACAATCTTCTGCCTTGTCTCATAATGTACCACGTCTTCCCTTCCTTAGCGGGCATTCACCCCGTGCGGCGCCGTAGAGCAGCCCACGTACCAGCTCTGGCGCCGAGTTAATCGAACCCGATATCAGATCCAAGCTCTGGTGCATGTGATTGGTTTCTGACGGAACGGCAACGCGATCAGCCAGCCTTGTCATCCCCTTGCCGTCATTATAAATGCATACCATTTGAGCGAAGGAGTTTTTCAAGCACGACTCAATTGAAAGCTGTTCATAGTCTGCTCATCATACGTCAATGGTCAATTATTGCTGCTCTGGGCAAAAAGCCTTGGAGCTTTTTAATCCTCGTTTTTATGGTCTGATTGTGATGAATGATTCGCACATCTGCGGCATGGTGCCATTCGCTCAGATGTGGGCCTTTTTGCAGCCAGTCGTTTGCTGTCAGGAGCTGTGCCTGCGAGTAAATCGTCCCGTTGAGTCTAAACTTATCATCCGAACAGGTGTTCCTGAGATGTCGTTAAAGTGGCCAGTGCTGATCAGCGCTCGCCCCGCACAGGGGTGTAGCGCTGCGCCCCTGACCTGTGCCGGTGCCCTGGTGCTTTTCCCCACAGAGGAAGCCAGGGCCCAGGGGCCCGCACAAAATTTTGCAACAGAGGGCAGGGTCCGGCAGGACTCAACGTATTTCACGAAGGCCAGTTCATTGTGCCGCAGGCGTCCGAAATTTGAGACAAGACAAAACAACATCGTTTGTTCTAGATCCCATTACTTTACCTGTCTCCCGTCAACACTTCACTGAATTGTCGGCGTTTATTTGCCCAAGTACTGATACATATGATCCATTTGTTGAAGGGTGGGGCACATGAGCCCGGGGGCCTCTGTTTGAACACGCCCGCGGCGGGGTCGGTCCGTGGCAGTCCCTGAGGTGGCATTGCTAGGCGTTACGTCTTGTCATTGGCGTGCCATGCGCCGTCAGTGCTGCAAGCCATTCAAGGCCGACATTTTTGCATAATGCTACGACCGACATCGGCTGGAATGTTTCTTCTTCCGAGCAGTGTTCTATTTATGTCTAGGTACTGCAGGGAAGTGGGCCACTGTTTTACCGACCTGGCGAGCTGGGCAGCCGGACGCGCTGAACGCTGGGGTGCCGTACGGCAGGGTCCGCGTGCGTGTGTGTACCGGAAGTACTGAACGCTGGATTGCCGTACGACAGGGTCCACGTGCGCGTGTGTACCGGAGGCACTGAATACTGGGGTGCCGTACGACAGGGTCCGCGTGCGTGTGTGTACCGGAAGTACTGAACGCTGGGGTGCCGTACGGCAGGTCCGCGTGCGTGTGTGTACTGGAAGCACTGAGCACTGGAGTGCCGTACGGCAGCGTCCGTGTGTGTGTGTGTGTGTGTGTGTGGACGTTGCGTGTGAGGGACCGGCTCCGATGGAGGGCCGTAAGCTGATGTCTTGAACGTAAACTCGCACTGTAAGCAGACCGTCATCGACAGTCGACGGTGAACAGTAACACAACATGCACTGAAAGCGCTTCCCTATACTTTGCGCATTCCTCGCGCATCATGCTAGTGACGCCCTTATGTTTACAAAGCTGTCACGAAAAGACGTTAGTGATGACAATGTCTCGCTTCCATGAACTTACATAACGCGTGATAACTCGCAGCGGTATTCAGCTAACGGGCCGGGGCAGTATTGTGCAATTCAGACTATCTGAGTGACACAGCCATGTCGTCACTCTCCAGCCATGCTCAGAACGGCTGTGATCTCGACGGCTTCAAAGTAATGTGTACACGCGACCGAATTTATAACAAGGTGTTATCACCTAGAACAATGACTAACATGGACGTCATTCTGTAGCATCACCACGGACCTGGCTAGCTTGGTGTCCTGTCCGGAGCTGACCGCGAATCGTCGGTCCGAACGCTCCTCTCGCCCCCCGTTATAGAGGACGGCCTATACCCGGGGCAGACGGCACCCGCGCTGAAGGCTAACCCCCGGTCGTAAGAGCGCAAGCGTCTCAGCAGCCGGACCTCATCCGCCGTCCACAGTCCACCATCGGCAAGAGACCGGGCCGTCCGTCCACAGTCCACCATCGGCAAGAGACCGTGCCGTGCGTCCACAGCCCCCCATTCACAGGAGACCGTGCCATCCGTCCACAGTCCACCATCGGCAAGGGCCTGTGCCGTGCGTCCTCAGTCCACTATCAGCAAGAGACCGTGCCGTGCGTCCACAGCGCCCCATTCACAGGAGACCGTGCCGTTCGTCCACAGTTCACCATCAACCGTCAGACGGGCGTGATCCGGCTGGTGCGCCAACCACCCAGCTTCGCAGCCGAAGACTACGCCTTCACCGTGGTAGCGCGCGACACGCACAACCAGAACGACACGGCCGCCGTCCGCGTGCACGTCATAGGTCGGTGGCAGCGCTGGGCGGCACCGGGGTGCGATTGCTGGCCGGCCGGCCGCTCGGTCCCCCGGGCTGGCCAGTCATTTTTCTTACGGGACGGCCCGACCCGGACATAGGCCGAGACCCCCACCCCCACCCCTCCCCACCCCGGGCGGGTTGGACGATGAGAAAGACTAGTATGACGGCGGGAGAAGGTGATGGTCGATGTGGGGGAGGGTACCGATCGAACACTGGACGAGATGCGGTACGGTGGGTGGAGGTTGGTAACGTGTGCTCAGGGAGGAAGGGGAGTGGGTCACGCCCTGTGGCAGAGTGCCGCTTCTGTGCAAAGGCATTCTTCCCCACTCATTGAGGCAACAGCGCACGGGGGCCTTGGTTCGACCTCAAGTAAGAAATGATATGTGGGGGACTCGTATATTGCTTCTGTTCAAGTTTAAGTAGCTTGGTAACTGTGTGCAAGAGTTAGCTGAAGCAAAAACGCATTATTTGCGTCTGTAACAGGGCCGAACACGACGGAATGAAAATCCCTGTATCGAGCAGCTGTTCTTGTAATCAGAAACAGCTTGCCAGCAGATCGGTAACTCAGCAGCCAGCGCTTCATTTTCTAATTCAGGGAAGCCTTGCAGTGAATAGGCTTTGCAATATTGTTCTCACCTTCCGGAACAACTGATTTTTGTTCTTTTGCACTTTCTCTGACAGCAACTGTTTATAACGCAGTTTTCCTGCTGCGTTCTGCGCCGGCCCCATCGCTTGAGGTGCTCTTGACAGATTCAGGCGATGTGAAGCACACTCTCGGCTGGCTTCCCGAACGTTCCAAATCCCAAAGGCAGTGCCATCTGGCGGCTGACAGATCAAGCCACGGAACCCTCGCATGCATGCTCTATGAGGCCACGGATTCGCTTACTGACGGTCGGATCCGCTCAACCTGCGGCAGCAATACAGCGGTAAAGCCCACTTGTCGCGGCTCCTCTTGCCGCGATGACGTCGTGCGCTCCACAAATCGTCGTGTTTTTGTGTGTTTGATTTTTGTTTGTTTTCCGCGTGCGAGGATGCTGCGCTCCGTCGCGTGTCTCTCCTACTGCGGACGTACGGGGATGGCCGATCTGGGGCGACCGCTGCGCCCTCGGCGGCACCGCCAATCAGCCTAAGTGACCTGACCTGTGCCGCGTGTTCGCGGCGCCGCCGCAGGCGCTCGGACAACGGCTGCTGAATAATCCAGCGCCGCCGCTCCCGACGCCGTGACGGCGGCGCAAAACGACGCCAACTTTGTCGCAATCCTGGCGTGGAAGTTTTCCATTTAGCTCGAACGTGCGCCGGGGGCGTCGCCGCCGGGAATGGTGCCACGTGCTCGCCAATCACACCGCCGCGCCGGGAACCAGCTCCAGCCTG